ATATATATATATTATATATATATATTATATATACCCTAATAAATGAAAACACTGCCACTTGTCATTTTCTCAAAATTTGTATTTTTGTTTCACTTGCTCCCTAAAAATGACACATAAGCTTTTTCCACTTGTCATTTTTTGAGAATTTTTTATTTTTTTTAAATGATAAAATTAATAGACATTAATTGAGAATCAAATTATCACCCCTTCCGGTCGGTTTTTCAATCTTTTGGAATTACAATTACATTTACCTTATATATAGGATGTTATTCTAATAAATATTAAACATTTAAAATTTCCTTCCAAATAAATGTTTAAACTATAGATTATATAATATTGGCTTTAAGTTTTATATTTATTATTTCTTTTTGTTATATTTTCCTTATAATTTGTACCAATTGTTTTCTAAAACTTGTAGATATTAACAAATTCGTTATTACTTTTCTAATTCGAATTACTATGCAAATTGGATTCCATTCTGGGATAAGTTTGCATCCTTAAAAATCAGCAAATCACAATAAATCGGAAAGAAAATTGTATCAAAAAATGAATCATATGGTTGGAAGCGGTGGTATTTTGACAAAAACTTATTGCTTCTTTTTCTTTTGGTATTGTTCATGTACGATGCCAATGTTTAGCAATTGATAAATTGGTATTAAAAGTCAAAATTTTCAGTTATTTTACTAAGAAATATTGATCAGAAGTGTGGTTTATATAATGGAATGCAACGATCTCTATCGAATGTGAGGTTGGTTTCAAGAGAACTAATGTTACTAATGGACAATTATATATTACATTGTTCATAGTTAAAAACAAAGATAGATTAAATATATTGAATTTAGATAATAATGGTAAACTTAGCAATAGGACATCTAATGTTGTATTTAAATAAGTTTTTGAAATTTGTGATTTTGAAAAGTTATTTAAAATAGGTTAATAGTTTAATTTCTTACTTATTCAGCATTTCATTTGTATTTATTTCAAAATTTTATTTAAAAAATTGTTAAAGTTTATACCTTGGTATTTAACTTTTTTTACTCAATCTGTATACTACACGGGTCTCACACCTAGTGTGATGTAATATATTTCTAGCTTCTTGCTAGTTGTTTTTTAACAAATCTTTACTGTTCTAAAAAAAATCACTTTATTCCTTTTCGCTATAACCCCTCAAATCTTAGTCTCGTTTTTACGTTAAAAGTTTCATATATTTTAGGTCTATGATGATTTCTCTTAGTTTTCATCTCATAGTCTTTTGACATATTTTATCAAAAAAAAAAAAACTTTTCGTTTTTCTTTTTATTTGTCTAGTAGTCCCTCGTCCTATCTTTGGCTAATTTTCTGGAATTCATTAAACACCACAAGGGTTATCTTTGGCTAATTTACTGGAATTCAATAAACACCACAGGGGTTGGAAGCAATTTTCGAAGATGATTGTGAGGAGAGGAGTGATTGAGTGAATGGCATGAGAAATAAAATCGTGAAACGCCAACAACTTCTGAATGTTGATTAGAACCTTGAATATTTCCTTTAAAAAATTACACTTTAACTTATTGAGAAATGTAATATTGTTTTTGTAACAAATAACTTATAGTCCGTCAATATTATGTATTGGTGGAACGGGAGGTTTCAAGTATCGTTTGAGACAAAAAAAAAAAAAAAAAAAAAAACTAATTTATAAGTAAAAATATAAGATAGAGAAAATTATGTATGTGTTTGTTGCTCTAAAATATGTTGTTTTTGTATAGGATATTTAAACATGTCTAGGGGTGTCAATTGAATGCACAAAGCGAAATGAAATTGGAACGGAATTGAGATTCAAAGTGTAACAACCTGACGTCATGTCGTTTTGTGTTCAAAATTCAATATGAAACTAGACCCGACAAACGTGTTGCGTAGATTTCGTGTCATGTCAAGACATTAAATGGATTGAGAGGGTTTGACCCTAACCCAACCCGTTTAATTATCGATGTGTCGTGCCGACCCGTTTATTTTCATGTCGGGTTTCAAGGTTTAGACCTTATAAATGTGTTGTGCCATGTCGGGTTAAAACATTTTAAAGGTTGAAAAGTAAGAGACGAGGAGGCAAAAATCAAAAAGTGAAATACTGGAGTTAGGAGGTGGAATAAAAAAAATAATACGTAGTAAGTTTAGAAAGCAAAATGGAAAAAGTTAGAGTTGAGGAAGAAATGAGATAGGTAATGATGAGGTGTAAAATTAAATCACTTTGAAAATTTGAATTTTACTTTTAATTTTTAAGTTTGGACCACTACAAGTGTATAATATTTAAAATATTTATAAATATATAAAATTTATAAAAAAAATTATATATAATTAAATAGGTCATATTCGAGTCATCAGTTGAAAGTTTTGACCATAACCCTGCCCGCTTAATTATCGTGTCATGTCGTGTTAACCCGTTTACATAAACGTGTCGAAATCTTTTACCCAAACTCGTTAATTTCGTATCGAGTTCGTGTCAAGTTGTCGTAACGTGTCAAGTTTTGTCAGGTCTACATGAAATGTCAGGTCTACATGAAACTGACAAGATATCAATATGTTTTTGTCGTATTTTGTATATGAAAAATTAGTATGAATTAACCAAAATAATGGTTATTTTCATATTATCTTTATCATGTTTTTCGTATTGACCTTGTTTTAACTTAATCGTTTTCGTTTTGGTTTTAAATAATACACCATTATTTTGTGTGGTATTAATATTTTATAAAGTTTTATCGTGGTGTACTGTTTTAGATAAAAATAGGACACAATTGTCTAATTGGATTCCCATAAATATATCCGCTCATAAATATGCTAACCATCATATCATACTATATTATAAAGGAAACATTTTTTCTTTCACCACATTCATTTGAAACTCCCAACTTTTCATATTTCCATTCAATATGCTTAATTTATTAACTTACATATGCTTTTAGTTGTAAACATTATCATAAATGGAAGAATTTGTGACTTATCAATATGATATACTTAATTTGTTAACTTCAATATATAGTTAAATAAATAACTTACATTAATATATCAAATAAGCTTAAAATTTTAGTGTAAAATTTAAAACCTAAAGTAAAATATGAAATAATGTTTAAAAAAATTCAATATATATTTTTTAACATAGTTAAAAGGAAAACATTAAATATAATAATAATAAAAGAACCTAAATTGATGAATCGAATTAACTAAAAGGTGTCTGGAAACTATATTCTAACAATATATTTTTAACCTGTGTCGCGCAACGCGCGGGAATTCGTCTAGTTTACTTATATTGATACGATATTTCCGCTAGTAAATTGTTTTTAAAAAAAGAAAGAAGAAATTAAAATTTTTCTTAAAAAAAAACCTTGACTAGAAATTGATATATAGTACAGACAAAATTGCAAAAATGGTCCCTGTGGTTGGCAAATTTATGTGCTTTTGGTCCAAAACAAAATGTTGGTGCACCACTGGTCCAATTTTAGATACCTTGTGTGGTTTTAGTCCCTATGGTTGTATTTTCTTGTGTTTTTGGTCCACATCACATCTAAAATGACTAATATGCCCCTTAATAATTATATATTTTAATTTCTTTTATTTATTTTCTTATTCTTATAATAAAATGAAAAACGAAAACAATAAACCCACCACTCTCTCTCACTCTCTAACCGGACCACCGATTACCCATAATCATTTTTAAATTCCAAAATCGATTTCCAGTTCTAGAAACAAAATCAAGAAATTCGATTATTCTAGAAGAGACAACTCTGAAAACTGATTGTTCGTTTGTGTGTGTATGTGTTAAAGAGGAGTTGTATACTCATCTGTGACCCCCACTGCAAATCATCGATGGGTTCAGACATGACTTTGACTCATCGGTCGACCATAAACCGTTCACCACCACTCATCGATACATTTAACCGGGATTAGGATTGAGAAGGAGATGCAGGTGTAGATCAACAGAAGAGCCTACATCCAGATCTAAATTCGTCATCGGAGTTTGAATGTAGGTCTTGACCCAATTTGGGTTTAAATTCCCTCATCGTCTTTGTTGATCCAGTTGGTCGCTACTTCCCCGGTGTACAAACAGATCGGTGGCGTCGTCTTTGTTGATCCAGTTGATCGCTACTTCCCCGGTGTACAAACAGATCGGTGGCGTCTGAAGGTTATGGGGCGACATCTAGCGGCAGACGGTGTAGGTGAATGGTGGTGGCAGTCAGGGTGTTCTTGAGAGAGTGAAAGAGATGTAAGAGGGGTAGAAGAGATGAGAGGTACCACCGGTGATGAGAGAGAGAGAGAGAGAGAGAGAGAGAGAGAGAGAGAGTATATGTGTGTGTGAGTGAGAGAGAGTGACAGAGGGATAATGGGATATTCTATAATTTTTAATTACTAAAAATCATTAACATTAATAAAAAAATAAAAAATAAAAAACAATAAGAGGGGCATAATCGTCTTTTTAAGTGGCTAGGGACCAAAACTGATAAAAAGATTTAATTTTGGACCAGTGGTGCACCAACGTTTTTTTTTTTTTGACCAAAAGCATATAAATTTGCCAATCACAACCACATGGACCATTTTTGCAATTTTGTCTATAGTAAATTAATATGTGTAAGATTTTTCTTTTTTCTTTTTTTATATAAAAGGTACTATTTCGTACCCTATTGAAGTATTGATAATCGCTTTCTGCCCCAAAAATAATCGCTTTCTGGCTTTCGGTGGATGGGCAAGACTCATTTATGAATACCTTCCCGGATAATAAAAAATATGAAAGTCTTTGACTAATTTGATAAGGAGGTTAGTATATGGTCGGTTCTTATTTTATATTTTACATTAGTACACGTATCACAATTCACAAATAACTTGTTGCCCACAAAGCCTTTCGATTTCCATTTCCATTTCCTTTCTTATCAGTCTTTTATTAACCTCCTATTTTCCTCCTCTGATTCCAAGTGCTTGCTGACACCGCCACCACCACCACCGTCTGCCGCCGGTTTACCAATTCAGACTCTAAAATGACTGACAGAGTTTATCCTTCATCAAAACCCAACGGCAACACAACCGCCGTCACAACAAACACAAGACTACCACCACCACCAAGCAAAGCCCAGCAACCCAATCGCCACCCCTACCGGCCAAACTCAGTCACCAACCAACGAACTCGGCGCCGCAGCCGCCGTGGATGCTTCTGCTTATGCTGCTTCTGGTCAGTTCTTATCATCACTCTCCTCCTTCTCATATCCGCTATCGCAGGTTGTATACTTTACCTCCTCTACCGCCCCCACCGACCAACGTTCTCTATCGCCTCCCTCAAAATCTCGGAATTCAACCGCACCACCACCGCCGATGACACCACACGACTCACTTCAAACCTCAATCTTACCATCTCTACCAGAAACCCAAACAAGAAAATCACATTTTACTATGATTCAATCTCAATTACGTGTTTATCCGAAGGAACGCAAGTCGCAAACGGATATTTCGCTAACTCGTTTGTTAGTAATCCGAATAACATCACCATTATCCGCTCATCATTGTCTAGCAACTCCCTGCTTCTGGAAACAGAAACAGTGAATCGAATGAGATCGGATCTGAAAAAGAAATCAGGGCTGCCATTAAAGTTGCTGCTTGATACTAAAGTTCGAGTCAAAATCGAGTCCATAAGAAGCAAAAAGATTGGGATTCGGATAAAATGCGAAGGAATTCATAGCTTAATTCCAAAGGGTGGCAGTGGGAATTCAAGAAATTCATCATCTTCATCAGTAGCTGCTACTGTTTCTGCTGCCAAATGTAAGCTTGATCTTCGGATCAAGATCTGGAAATGGACTTTCTAAATTTCTTAAATTTTACGATTCTTTTAATGTTTTATTTATTATTCTTTATAAATTTGTGAGGTTTCTCTTATGTAATTTGATGATGTCAAAAGAACCCCAGGAGATGAAAAATACAAGAATCCCATAACTATTTTATATCATAAAACTGTACATGTAACAGTTATATATATATATATATATATATATATATATATATATATATATATATATGCTTAGGTTATTTTTTTTTTTATTAATTATTGTGTGCAAGAATGCACAGATATGGACCAACGGATGAAATTAATCAATGGATATGATTTGAGAGTGTATGATATTACAATGGGGTAACATGTACTATATAATCACACAATTTTTAGCAAAATGGTATTTTAGACAATTAACTACATTTATAAAAGGAAATTTTTGGATTTTTAGGGATGATTAATTCTCCTAATTTAAAAAAAATCTGAATTTTCTAATTAATTCAATTTCAATTTTTACCGATTTTATTCTGTCAGAATATTTTTTGTTAGAATGATGTTCTTTCATAATTTTATTCTAATAGAATATTATTGAAGAAAAACAAAATTCTTGAATCAGATGTTGAAAAATAACAAACATTCTAATATATTCTTATACATCCGAACTTAAATAGAAAATTCATACATATTCTTACAGACTAAAATCCTTATACATTTTAATATAATTATACATATTTTAAAAGAATATCAACAAAAATGATTAAAATTCTTAAAAACTAACAACATTCTTAAATTGTGAGTATGATCAAACTTTATTCATTCTTCAAGTTATTCATATTAGGTCTTCAACGCCTTTTTCCAGCCATTCCTATCACAAATACAACAAAAACCAATAATTGTTAAAAACATGTTACTTGCAATTAACTATCACTTAATATATTCTGGTAGAATACATAGAATATGACAGAATACATATAATACATTCTGGCAGAATACATCGATTTTATTCTGGTAGAATACATTCTGATAGAATACATAGAATACATTCAAAAAGTATTGTATTTACTGCTAATATAATTTTAGATTTCAAAAATACAATAACGAGGGACAATAGAAATTGGAATTCAAAATCACAAATTGAACCAAAATAATACACAGACAAAATTAATTATCTTTTTAAACAATTACATAAAACATGTGTTGCTAGTAATTCTGACAGAATGCATACCACAAGGTTAAATTCTTTAAATTCTCAATAATGACAGCTTATCCCTTGGCCAATCTTGAAACCTGTGAAAAACATGAAAAACAAAAATCTTGTCTCTTAGGATTTTTAACAAACAGTTTGTAGGCACTAAATAAATAATTGGCTCCTCAATGTTTTTTTCAAATTCAAGCACAGGGGAGCTCAAACCTTCTATCACTCCATCCTCCTTCTTAATTGGATTGCGAATGACATGATTAACCATTGGAGAACCAGCGATATCAGCCATAACCACTTTAGAAGAAATCTTCGATCCCATCACAACACCCTCAGAACCATTCGACAATCCCAAGCCCTTATTCTCAATAGAAATCGCATCACATCCAACATCCAAAAGGGAATCCACCAAATTCACTCCAGACCTAGGGCCTTCAGATTTACTCACATCACTCGATCCTTTTATCACAGGAGATTTCACTTCTGATTCAAACTTATTGACAAGAAGAGTGACTGATTTAGCTTTCAGAGGATCAGACGGTAACTTAGAAGCCTCACCAGAATCGATTTTCAGCTTGTTTCTCGGGTTCGCATTTTTCCCCTTTCTTTTCATAATAACATCAGGTTCCAAATCAGGAGGAACCCCCTCCATGAGAACAATACTAACAGTATCCACGGAATAAGGAAGAAGAGACGAACAGATTAAGACCAGCCACGAGCTAATCCACCACCGGAGGAACAAACGGCGCCGGAAAACGAAGGTGAAAATCGCCTGATGCCTTCTCGATCTGATGAAGACGACGATGAGGACCGAAGTCCCTTTCTCAGCCCTCCTTGCAAATCTGTTTGACCCTCACTAGTGCCCTTGATTTTTGACTGCTCCCATTCGATCGTTCCTTATTCCCGATCTGTTGAAGAAGACGCGTCCCCTCTTTGTGCATTTAGGGTTGTGGATACGATGATTTTAAACAAGTCAAACAATAGTAGACATGATTTAAGGGATATACCAAATATATAAGAATTTATTTTTAGTTTATAAAAACAAAATGACTCATCTACCCTTTTTTTTACATTAATGATTTATTTTTTTCTTGAATTCTCATTGGTGCATACATGCACACAATATTTGCTAAAAACATTTGAACCTAGCTCTCTCTCTCTCTCTCTCTCTCTCTCTCTCTCTCTCTCTCTCTCTCTCTCTCTCTATATATATATATATATATATATATATATATATATATATATATATATAACAACGATACATTCGTCGGTAGCATCAATTAAATTGCAACTTTTTTTTTTCGTTTACTCGTATTAAATAATTAAATTATTGATAAATATACAAAAGGTTAATGTCCAGCTTGCATATCGTTCAACCCAGCTGTAGTATGTTGTAAAACTTAAAATGGTCTTATCCAATATTCCAATGTCAAATAAATCTGTATTGAAATACTAAATAACTTTTTAAGTTTGATGTAAATGACTGAAATAAATTATGGGAAAATATTAAATCATAGCATAATTGATATAAGAACTATGTAGAATTTGTAATTTTACTTTAAATCGTCAAATTTTAACTTTTTAATTACTGTCAATTTTTTCTTAATTAATATGATATATATGAAAAGTATGGTAAAATATATGTTTTATTCGGTTTTCTTTAGGAGATTGATTTTTCATACCGGTTATTTTTATTTTTAATGTTCGAGTTATGAGTTTTTATGTGTTTTATTTGTAATATTCGAGTTCTAACTGTTAAGAAACAAACCAATTAATGGAAATACAAAAATCATTATAATCGTATTTTGCATAATAAAACAACTTTATTTATAACAAAGTTCTATTACATAATACATTCCCAACATTAATTGATTATTGTACATAGAAAGTTAGTAATAAAATTTTATTTTTTATTTGATATTGCTTCGTGTGAAATGTTAGTATTTAACACATTTTCACGTCAAAGATTATAAAAAATAGATGGAAAAAGGCATTATGATTTTCTAGAACCCTTCGGATCCTACCTATGCTAGAGTCTCCTGATGAATGATCTTTTGTCAAAGACAGTTCTAAGTCGGACGGTATGGAGTGCGGGGAGGGGGTGCGGGACGTTTCCCGCACAGGGGAACACCGCACCGTGGGTGCGGGAAGAGGGTGGGGGATGGGGATGCCGTGTTCTCACTCCTCACCTCATTGGTCCGTTATTTTTTTTTTCTTTTTTTTTCTTTTTTTGATTCCAACGGTTATATATATATATATATATATATATATATATATATATATATATATATATATATATATATTACATTTTTTAAACTATAAATACCACAACATCCAACCATTTTTTTAACCCATACCTTATACTTTTCTCCAAAAAATATTAATCAAAATGTCATCATCCGATTCGACGGCTCTAGGGGAGGCTAAGTTTCTCGGTTCCGTCATGGCGAACACGGTTGCATACTATCAAAACCGACTAGGCGAAACATCACGTGCACGATCTAAACCAAGAAAGTCGCGACTGCGTAGAAATCACGAAGCCGGACACGATCGTCTCATAGAAGATTATTTTGCAGATGACGTCATCTACGCTGTAAAGTTTCGACGTCGGTTCCGGATGAGGAAGGAATTATTCTTACGTATTGTTGGCGATTTGGAAGGCCGCTTTCCATATTTCCAATAGAAAATGGATGCAAGGCGGATAAAAGGTTTCTCTCCCGTTCAAAAATGCACGGCTGCAATTCGTCAGTTAGCATACGACATTGGGGCAGACAAATGGGACGAGTATTTTAGGATGTCAGAGCGTACCGTGCGAGAGTGTGTGTACAAGTTCTGCAAAACGATCTGTTTGGTTTATGGGCAACGATATTTGCGCAAACCAACTATCAACGATATCCACCAATTGTACATGGTGCATGAAGGCAAGCATGGATTCCCTGGAATGCTAGGTAGTATCGATTGCATGCATTGGAGTTTGTCATTATGCCCCAACGCATGGCGTGGTCAGTACATGAGAGGCGGCCACAAAGAGCCGATGATCATTCTAGAGGCTATCGCATCACATGATCTTTGGATATGGCATGCATTCTTTGGTCCAGCTGGTGCAAACAATGACATCAATATGCTAGACCAGTCGTCGGTATTCAACGATATCTACCTTGGAAAGTCGCATGATGTACCTTTTCAAGAAAATGGGGTAGCATATAAGTGTGGATATTATCTTACTAACGGTATATATACTCCCTTGTCTGTTTTTGTGAAATCGTTTACATGTCCTAACGACCCGAAAAGGAAAAAGTTTAAAGAGGCGCAAGAGTCAGCTAGGAAGGATATGGAGCGAACATTTGGTGTACCCAAGAGACGTTAGCAAGTACTAACTGTCGGGGCAAGGTCATATGAAGTAAAAAGGTTACAGCATGTAATGTATGCATGTATCATATTGCATAATATGATTCTTGAAGACGAAGGAAGAGCGATATGTCAGTACAACGAAAATGAAGTTTTGCCAAATGTCGAAGGAGTAGTCGTTGGTACACAAGAGTATAGGGTGAATAGAAGAAAAGTACACAATCGCGACATTCATCACGCCCTTCGTGCTGATTTGGTGGAACACATTTATAGGGCTCATATTCAGCCTCCGATAGAGTTTTCTTATGATGACTTGTTTGACGAATTAGACGAGGATTCTGATATGTTGGTCGAGAGCGAAGATTCCGACGACGAGAGTGACGCTGGGGAGAATGATGAAGACGATGACGAGGACGATGAGGGCGATGACGAGGACGATGATTCCGAGTGACGTATTTTGGTTTATTTAAAATTAGGATATTGATTATGTT